CGCCGCGAGTCGTGGGCGGCGGCTAGAGGGGCGGCCGCACGGCTTCCCGCCGGCCCACCCCAGCACGAGCTCGTCACTGCCGCTGCGTGTGCTGCTGCGCGAGCTCTCGTTTCCAGAGGCCGTCGTGGTGGAGACCGTCAGCCGCATGTGCCGCGCTGATGGCGATAACGTGATGAGCAACGACGGCACCGCCGCCACGTCGATGGAGGGGCCGTACCGCTTTCACTACGATGCCGCAGTGGAGGCGATGCAGCGGGACTGCTGCGAGCGTCTGGTGTTCGCCCGGCATGGGGTGCTCGGCGTGCGGCTCATCAAGCTGCTGTTGCAGCACCACAACATGGAGGACCGCATGCTCGCGGAGGAGGCCATCGCCACACTGCCCCGCACGCGCGAGGTGCTGCATGCGATGATGCGAGACGGCTACGTGCGTCAGCAGGAGGTGCCAAAAAGTGGGGTCATGATGGACCGGCAGCCGAAGAACGCCGTGTTCCTGTGGAGTTGCAGCATGGAGCGGGAGGTGCTGCCAACCGTGCGGGTGCAGGTTGCGAAGACCCTCCACAACACCCTCGTGCGGCTCTCAATGGAGCGGCAGGCAGCGGCCAATCATGCAGCGGCATCCTCTTCTTCCTCCACCAGTCCTGCTGCTGCTGCTGTGACAGTGACGGGCGATGCGTCAGGGATCCCGGCGGCGACAGGCACGCGACGAATTACCGCGGAGAATCTGGGCGAGACGCTGCGGCTCCAGCGTGCTGTTGTGGCTCTTGAGAGTTCCGCCTCCGCGCTGATGCGAATGATGCTGGTGCTCGACTACTACTAAGCCACCGAGAGGGCAAACGCAGAACGGCATTTGTGTTTCTCTGTTTCGTGTTTTTTTTTTCTTGTAAGAGAGAGTTTGTGTGTGTGTGTGTGTGTGTGTGTGAATTAGGAGTGGGACGGTTGCGGCTTGCGTGGCTTGTTGCCCGTGTGTGTGTGTGTTCGTGCTCTCTCATGATACATCGGCTCTTCCCCACACTCTGTGTCTCTCTGATTTGTGTATATAGGCAGCGCACAGAGACAAGGGCACACACACACAGACACACATAAATATAAATATAAATATATATTTATATTTATATCTACACCCCTACACACGTAGCCGCTGCCGCCGCTACCTAAGAGCAGCAGCAGAAATAGCAGGTTTGGCAATCACTCTCTTTCTGGGGGATGCAATCACCACTGCGACCCTCCAGCAGGGATACGGTGCGTGAGTCCATTCTCGCACAACTCGACACTCTGAGGTGCGGCGGGCACCGCGCAAGCGACTGGCTTGGCTCGAACCGGGGAACTTTGCACTCCAACCATGGGCGGCAGCAGCAGCAGCCGCCGCCGCCGCCGCCGCCGCAAAAGTTGCAACTTTTGCGGCTGCCAAGCTCTCCACAGCACGGGAGTGGGCTAACGCACGGCCGTGCCACCACCGCGTCCTTCGCTGTTGCGCCGCCTGTACCCAACACGCGACGTTTGCCCCCGTTGTTCGCCGAGCAGTGGCACAACACTGCCGAAATTCATAGTGTCTGCAATGGGCTGCAGAGCACCTTGCTGCAGCTTGATGCCGACTTCGCGCGTGGCGGTGGCCCGGGTGCCCTTGGCGGGAGCCCCCTTGCCTTCGCTGGTGGGGCGGCGCTGAACACCTTGTTGCTACACCAGCAGCAGCAGCGGCGGCGTCGGAATCGTGGCGCGAGTGCGCATGGGCGCCGCGACATGGGCGATCAGGTGAGCGACGAGAGAGTGCTTCTGGAGCTGGAGGTGCAGCAGCGGATGGAGGACATTCAACGCATCCGCATCGCTGCTGCTGACGAGGGGCTGAGCGATGAGCAGTCGGTCAACGACTATGCGGAGGAGCCTGACGTGCCGCGCTTCGTCCCAGGCATCCGTCTGCGCGAGGAGGTGGAGGCGATGGAGGAGTCGCTGCGCAAGATCAGCGAGAGCATCGCCACCATGATGGCAATCGAGGAGCGTGACGCCGGCAACCCGTGGTGGAGCTCCGCAATGCTCACGCGCGAGATGAAGGCGAGCGGCATTCGCGCCAACTACCACGCGCGCCGCGTGCTGAAGTGGAACCAGCGCGCCCGTGAGCACTTCCTCGTCGAGGCGGTCGTCACGAACGAGCAGTCGGCGCGGTGCAGGGCGGACATGCTGTACCTGCGCGAGCAGCAGGAGCTCTTCCTGCGGCGCATCGAGCTGTGCCACAAGGCCCAGGCTGAGATCGCGGCGGAGCTGGCGGCGCTGCAGGAGGCCCTGCGCGAGGCGAACCACGCCAAGGGTGAGCTGCAGCAGCAACTTGTCGCACGCTCGCATGAGCGGCAACTGCTGCCACGCGACTGCGAGGACGCGCTGCGGGCAGAGTTCCTGCTTCTGCTCGACTACGTGGCGTGGCCGGCGGCGCTGCAGGCCGACGCNGACCGCGTCAAGGCGTGGGTGCGTGAGAACGCCGTGCCGCTTGATGTATAGCCCCCAGGGGGGTGGGGAAGGGCGACGCCGCGGCACTGGGCGAGGCCTGCGGCGGTTGCCGTGCCGAGGGGGATGTGGTGACGGCTTCACACGCACCCGCTCTTTCTTATTTCATGCTCGCAAACACAGACGGTCTTGCTCATTATCGGTCTCACCTTGTTGTTGCTGCAACTTATCTTCCTGACGTGTAACCTCCCTCGGCATTTTTTCTCTCTCTCTCTGTCTCTCTCTCTGTCTCTGTCTTACCCGCTCCCCCCGCTCTGTGGCTCCATCGCCATCACCGTCAATATTGCCATTATTACTATCACCTGTTTTTGTACCAGCAGCAACAATAGTAGGAGCAGTAGTAGTTGTTGTTGGCGCTGGTGGAGGAGGCGTGGGCACGTGTGCGGCATCTATATATCTATACACACACACACACACACACACACACACACACACACAATGGAGAGCACGTCGGTGCTTGCCCCGGACGGCGGCGACTCTACGAGCGATATCGCCGCCTTCAACGAGATCCGGCTTGACAACCGAAACTTCGAGTTCTACGAGCGGCAGTTTCAGGAGGTGCTGATGAGCCTCGAGAACGACGAGGCGCTAGAGGCGTTCCGCGCCGAGTACGTGGCGCTGCACCACTCCTGCCTGAAGAGCCACGACGGCGAGACGCGGCTGCTGAAGAAGTGCGCAGAGCTGCAGGCTGACATCGAGTCGTGCGTGGTGAAGCTGCACGCCGCGGAGGAGCTGACGCGCGGCGACAAGTCGACCATCGACGCGCTCAAGGCGGAGATCGACAAGACGCAGAAGAAGAGCTCCGCCACGAAGGAGCGCGAGACGGTGCTGAAGGACAAGGTCAGCAGCCTCAAGCGCGAGCTGCGTGACATCGAGGAGCGCTCCCACCGCCCCGTCGAGGCGACCGCGCAGGAGGCCGCGCTGCAGAGCCTCGTCCGCGCCCACGAGGGGGTGCTGAAGGAGAAGGAGACGCTCGAGTACCAGCTCAGCGCGCTGCGGCAGGACCACGCC